TTGCACTTTATAAAACAACACGCTGCACTTTATCACCAGAATCCACTGTTAACGTCTCCTGCCAAAAATACCACACAACATAAATCTAAAAAACGGTGCACGTAATACTTTAACATCAATCACATCAGTTATCCATACAAAATACAAAATTACAGTAGTACACTCTATACATCAACATGTTGCAGTTTATAAAATTAATATAAGGTATCAAAATGATTTATAATAATAATAAATAATTTATATAATAAAAATAATAAATGAAAATATATGTTAATTAATTAGGTTAATTAGATGTAAAATTATATCTATTAAAAGTTTAAAATTAGTTTTCGGATACAAATGGAAAAGTATAAATTAGTGCACTTGATATAGCGGAATGTTGCACTTTATATAATAATAGGTCGCACTTTATAAAACAACATGTTGCACTTTATCGTCACACTCCACAATTAATGTCAACATCTCCCGCCAAAATATTACGCGATATAAATGTAAAAAAACGGATCGACATAATACTGTACTATACAGCGCATCATATATATCCACAAAAATAACACAATCATGTTAACATACCATAATATAAGTATTACAGTTTATATGTCAATTCATTGCACTTTATATAACAATACATCGCACCTTATAACACAGCACGTTGCACGTAAATTATAGTAATTCTAATAATAGATCGAATAATATTAGTTGGTTAATGACAGATATAGTTTTTTTTAAATAAAAAAAATAGCCGAACATGTTGAACTATATAAAAAAATATTGCTGATTTCGTTTTTTAATATTTTTTTTTTACAAATGATACTATTTTTTATTTATATTTTTATATATTGCGAATGCGCATTAGCATTGTACGGATTGCACATAAATGTCTCTCAGATTGCACAAAATCGAACAACGTCCAACAATCGAAAAAATTATTTTGATTAAATCGAAAAAACTATTTTATATATTTTTACTTTTAATTTTAAAAATATTTCCGATTCGAAACTCCATATGTTGTTCAAATATAATTTTCAAATTTTAAAAGTTCAGTTATTTGTGTTCAATGTCGGCTTTAGGTTTTAAAATTTACTTATCACTATTTTTATATTTATTAAACTATTAATAATTTAGTACAAATATTTATTTAACTATTAATTTATGTTATAATTAAAATTTAAAAAAATTACACAATAGTCCCTAACATTAACCTAATTTCCATAAACAAACCCTAAATCAATTCAACCCCAAATCACCAAAATTACATCACAAAATCAGCCAATTTGACACAGAAATCAATTACATCACATAAATCAGCCAATTCGCCCTTCAATTAGCCAGTTTGATTACCCCTAAATCAAATGCATCACATAAATCAGCCAAAAGCACATCACAGAAATCACCAACCTCATTCACACCAAAATTACACTCACAGAAATCGGTCAATTCGCCCTTCACCAAACTCATTCACAGAAAATTAGCCACAATCTATGTATCCTGAATCAAAATTCACCTGTTCCACCTCAGCCATAAAATCATTTCCGGCCGCCGCATCCAATCTCCCTTTCAGGTCGCCGGCGAGCTCATCCCGTTCAGGTCATCTTCGTCTTCACCACTCGAATCTATTGTCGCCCTCTGCAACTCGCCGGAACGGTTGCCCTCGCCGTCGGTACAATCGGGGAGCTCGAATGGCGGGCTTAGCGAGATTGAGATAGGGGCAGGTGACGGTGGTGGCGGTGCTGGGATGGCTGGTGGCGGTGCTGGGATGGCTGGCGGCGCTCGACGGGATGGTAGCGGCGGCGGCGGCGGCAGCGGCGACGGTTGGGCGGCGACGGGAGAGATCGGGATAATGGCAGTGACCGGTGGTTGGGGGTGGGTTGATTCCGACCGTGTCTGGGAGGAGGGGAAGGGGAGGGCGCTGACAGGGATGGCTGACCGCGCTTGCCGGAATGGTAGCGGCGGCAGTCCGGTGGCGGCGGCAATCTGGGGCTGAATTTCCGTCTTGCCCGCTGGAGTGTGTGTGTGTGTGAATTGTGTGTGAATGCGAGGGATGAGAATAAAAATAAAGTGTGGGTCATGTGGTATATGTGTAATGACCAAATTACCCTTAATTATTGATCAAATGTACATATTTGATCATAATAGTTTAAATAATTACAAGATTACCATTAATGATTGACCATTAATTATGAAAGTTTGACTTCATCTACATCATTGACTTGATGAATCTAATGGTGTAGATTTATTCTTATTTCTCGCATTAAGAGTCATTCTCATATGATTTTTTTTTTTTTCTCTCTCTCTCTATATATATATACACATATATACAATGATTGGGGCTAGGTTTAATTTTGAATTAGATCCGGTTCTCATCGATGCCCATATACATACAATTAATTCGATTATATAGATACATATACATACAATTAATTCGATCGCACTAATCGCACGGCTGCCCCAACTCCGACGCCGGTAGGCAAAAGGTCCGGGTGTGCGAGATCTGCTCCTCCGCGATTGAGACCACGAGATGCGACCGTGAGGACGAGAAGAAGGTTTTGAAGAGGCAAGAGAAGTCGAGTCAGCGCGACGAGAGGAAGAAGAAGAAGAAGAAGAATCTAACTTGCCCCATCCCGAGGTGTCGACGCAAATACCATCATATTTGAGAATTGTTGGGTTAAAATTGCCTAAGGCACATGTTTTCGACCGACCGTCGTTGGTGACTGCTACTCTGAGATTGCCCGACGTCAAAGTCTATGTGTAAAAACTGGATGAAGGCATGTAAAGAGAGAAAATGTGATCTGGCGTGAAACTAAAGTTAGAGTTTATATTTAAACAAAAAAATAGATATGTGTAAATAATTATGATAATTTTGGTAGGTTTGCAAATAAATATGGGGTGCAAATTTCTCTTCAGGCGTCATAGATATGGGAAAACGAAAAACACAAAAATTTAACACTCAAATTAAAGTTGTACATTTATTTAGGGTTTATTGCACCAAATCCCCCTATATTATATGAAATCTGCGCGTTTTCCCCGGGTATTTTAAAAATTGCGTCAGACCCCCTCGTATTAACTAACTTTTGCACGAATCCCCCCTCTCCGTCCAACTTCACAGCGCGTGCAGCACACATTCATGTAATGCGGCAATTATTCAATTTTTTCATATATTTTTTATTTTAAAATTGAAATTTTACTATTTTGCCCCTTGCATGTTGGGCAAAAATTGATGCTTGGCTGCTCCTTATAGGATTCGAACTTGGGTCAAAACATCAATAGCCAAGCTTTCAACCACTATGACACCATCATTATATTGTACAAAATTAACACACATTTATTTAAAGCAACAGGAACAAGAGGAAAACTTAATCAAACAAAAATAAAAAATAATATAATCACAAACTAAATCATTATAATAAAATTTTATTGAAATAAAATAATAAAAAATTA